CCTGCCCTCTGCCACCCGGGAGCAGGCCTAAGCCAGCAGGTCGTTATCTCCTGAGGGGTCCCAGACTGCGAGAGGGCACAGGCCGGGCTGAGGGACTCCCCCCTTCCCCCCGAGTGCACAAATTTTTGTGCACCGGGCCTCTAGTTGGTTAATAAAATATATAGGCTTCAGGTATAAAATTCTATAATACATCATCTGTAAACTGTATTGTATGTTCACCACCCCAAGTCTAGTTTCCTGCCATCACCATTTATCGCCCCTTTACTCTCTTCTAACCCTCCAATCCCCTCTCACTCTTGTAATCACCATACTGTTGTCTGTGTCTATGAAACTTCTCTAAAGAGGACATACAGATGGCCAATCCTATAGAATAAAAGGGTAATATGCAAATTGACTGAACAGCAGAACGACAGGTCATTATGATGTGCACTGACCACCAGGGGGCAGATGCTGAATGCAGCAGCTGCCCCCTGGTGGTCAGTGCGCTCCCACAGGGAGAGCGCCCTCAGCCAGAAGCCCAGAAGCTGGGCTCATGGCTGGTGAGCACAGCGGCGGTAGCAGGAGCCTCTCTTGCCTCTGCAGCAGCGCTAAGGAAGTCAGACTGACGGCTTAGGCCCACTCCCTAAGCCATCAGTTGGACATCCCCCGAGGGCTCTTGGACTGTGAGAGGGCTCAGGCTGGGCTGAGAGACACCCCCTCTCCCTGAGTGCACGAATCTCATGCACTGGGCCTCTAGTAGATATATGAAAAAATGCTCAACATCATTAATCACTAGAGAAATGCAAATTAAAACCACAATGAGATATCACCTCACACCTGTTAGAATGGCTACAATCAATATATCAACCAACAACAAATGTTGGCAAGGATGTGGAGAAAAGAGAACCTTCGTGCACTATTGGTCGGAATACAGATTGGTGCAGCACTGTGGAAAGCAGTATGGTATTACCTGAAAAAATTAAAAATGGAACTGCCTTATGAGCCAGCATTTCTACTTCTGGGAATATATCCAAAGAAACCCAAAACTCTAATTCAAAAGAATATATGCACCCTTGTGTTCATTGAAGCTTTATTTACAATAGTCCAAGTGTCCATCAGTAGATGAGTGGATAAAAAAGCTATGGTACATTTACACAACGGAATACTACTCGGTTGTAAGAAGCAAGGAAATCTTACCTTTTGTGACAGCGTGGACGGACCTGTGGAGTATTATCCTAAGTGAAATAAGCCAGTCAGAGAAAGACAAGTACCGTATGATTCCACTTACATGTGGTATCTAGTAAACAAAATAAACTAACAAACAAAACAGAAGCAGACTCATAGATACAGAGAACAGTCTGACAACTGTCAGAGGGTTAGAGGGTTGGGGGTTGGGTGAAAGGTGAAGGGATTAAGCAAAGGAAAAAAAAAACTAGTCTTTTCTTTTTATTCTCAAAATTTCATCAAACTAATGATTAGTATTTTCCATGGCCAGACGCTGTTTTAGGCCTTGGGAATACAGTGGGCAGAACAGGTAATGTTTCTGCCCTGAAGGAGTTTACATTTCAATTGCCAGGTACAGATAATAAATGTAACAAGTAAACAATTACATAATCAAGGTAATTTCAGATAGTGATAAGTGCTATTTAAAAAAAGCTTTAAAATGTTTTTTTAAAAAAGGTGAGATAGAGAGTGACAGGGTGAGGAGAGGGGGTCTACTTTAGATGGACAGGCAGCAAGATCTCTCTTGAGGAGGTGAGATTTACCCTCAGTGATCCGAAGACCTGGAAAGGGAGTGTTCTAAGAAGAGAAACAGAAAGGACAAAGGTCCTGAGGAAACCAGCTTGCTTGGGCCTGGCACCGTGAGGTAGAGAAAACCAAGAGATGAAGTCACACATCAGGTGGAGGTTCGCTCATACAGACCTTAATTCAGAGACAGGGACTTTGGACTTTATTCTAAGGGCTTTTAGATAATGTTAAGGAGGAGAATAAAATGATTTAATTTTGAGAGCTCACACTGGCTGTTGGGTATAGACTGGGATGAATGAAAGCAGGGAGAACATTTAGGAGTCTATTTTAATAGTCCAGGTGAGAGATGACACCAAGCTTGGATAAGGTGGTAACAGCAGAGATAGAGAGAGGTGAGCAGATTCAGGGTCTATCTTCGAGGTTGAGCCAACAGAACCTGCTGGTGGGTTGGATGTGGGGTAGGAGAAAATAAGAGGAATCTAATAGGGTTGCTAGTTCCATTCATTGAGATGGGAAGCCTGAGGAAGGAACCAGTATTTGGAGCGGAATCAGAGACCTATTTTGCCCAGGCTTTGTTTGAAATGCCTGTGAGAGATCCAGATGGAAATGGCAAGCAAAGAGTTGGACAAATGAGAATTCTTGAAGCACAGATTTAGCATTCCTTTTTGAATTTTCTTCCCACTGTAGAAGGCCAGAAAAGTCCAAGAATGGGCCTGAAAGGGCAGATTCCCCCTTTCGCTTGGACCAGCAGAGGTCCCCTTCAAGGGGCCAGGTGCCACCATCTAATAAGGGTTTTAGTGTGCCTATGGGTAGCGGTATGCTTCGGTGCACACAGCAAAAGTGCTTTAGAGTTGAGAAGGTCAAGTAGGTTGTAAGTTGCTATTTGTCATTAACTTACATTTCAATTTGCCAAGTGCCTTCTCTTTCATTATGAATGACCTTCAGTTGACTCTTAGTATATAAAGTTTCTGGTTTCTGCTTCCCCCTCTCCATTCTCATCATCCCTGTCCTGGCTTCTCTAACCAGCCTTTACTCTGTGGGCTGTGTAAGTAAAAAGCTTTAGTCCACCTTTTGGGTGGGGGGTGCAGGGAGAGGTCTCTAAGAAAGCTCAGGAAATAGCTTGCCTCTTTTCTCCTTCTGAAAAGATAGGGAAGAAAATAGTGAGAGAGATGGGAAGCCAGGTTGGAAGGAATAACTTCAATTGTATTTTATTTTAAATATATTTTATTGACTTTTTACAGAGAGGAAGGGAGAGGAATAGAGAGTTCGAAATATCAATGAGAGAGAAACATTGATCAGCTGCCTCCTGCACACCCCCTACTGGGGATGTGCCCGCAACCAAGGTACATGCCCTTGACCGGAATCGAACCTGGGACCCTTCAGTCCACAGGCCGATGCTCTATCCACTGAGCCAAACCGGTTAGGGCTCAATTGTATTTTAATAAAAATTAAAAGCAAGCTGCCCTGGGCTGGGAGCAGGCAGCCCCGAGGGAGAGCAGAGGAGACTGTTTTTCCCTGGGGGCGGCACCACCTGAGAGGAAAAAGGCGGCACAGCCGAGCCTAGAATGCTCAGTCACTCTACCCAGCTTTACATCATCAGAGGTGAAATGGTTAAGGCTCCGAGAGAGGACAGAAAGCCGTCCTCCTCATGGACCCAGCAAGCGGAGACAGGGCCTTCTCCTCTACTAGAAAATGAAAACGTTCACCATTAATTGGCTGGATTTAAAATAATTGGATTTTCAGTAAGTAGGGCACAGTTAAGTTCAACAAACAGATATCAAGCACAATCCTGCCGCTTCCCAGCTCTGTAATTTTGGGAAACTCACCTGACCTGTCTCAAATTTCTCATTTGTAAAGACGAGGATCACAGTACCTACCTTGTGAGGTCATTCAAGCAACGCATCCGGTGCCCTGCCCAGATCAGCACAGGCACTCAGTAAAGAGTGCCTGCTGCTGTTACTACTGTAACGATGGCCATCACTATTACCATGTTAGGAAATCTAGGTGCTAGGGATATAAAGATAAAAGACATACTCTTACCACCTAAAAGCTTAAGATTCAGTCAAGAGGTAGGAATAATAAACATTAAAATACAACGTAATGCACATGTAGTAGGGTTTCTTACCAGAAGGGTGCCTGCAAGTGGTTACATTTTAGTGAGACTATATATCCATGTAGGCCAGGACAAAAAAACCAATCATCTTGGAATTGGAGAGCCTTCCATAACCTTATTGGGTGGGGGTCAAGTAAGCAGCTCAAATTGTTCACCAACAAAGGTATCAGGACATGCCTATGGTTTTGTTTGTTGGTTTTTGGGGTTTTGTTGTTGGTGGTGTTTTGTGTTTTTTGTTAACCCTCACCCAAGGACATTTTTCCATTGATTTTTAGAGAGAGTAGAAGGGAGGGGAAGAGACAGAGAGAGAGACATCAATTGTGTTGCCTTCCACACGCAGCCTGCAACCAAGGCCCCTGACAGGAATCGAACCCGGGCTGAAACTCCATCCTTGGGCCGATGCTCCATCCACTGAGCTAAACCAGCTAGGGCTGTTGTTTTGTTTTTAAAAGGAGTTCGTCACCAGGGAGGAATAGAATAATGATGGCTTTAAATCCTCAAAATAGTGAAAGCTAGACCAGCCCTGGTTTAGCACTACTGAGCACAGAAAGAGCTGATCACTTTGGAATCTGACACCTGGAGCCTAGACTGACAGCACCTGAGGGCCCTTGGATCAAGGTGACCTGGGGACAGACTGGCAAGACTCCACTCTGGCCCAGACTCTTGACCTTGCACTGACCGCACTGGGCGGGTTCCCCATGGGCACAATGCTTTATCTCTGTTTACATCTTCTGCTAAGCAGCCTTGCTGCCTTTTCCCTGAGCCACCTCGCACAGCTGGCCAGTGCATAGGCAGCCTATTATTGTGGAAGTAACCAGGATGCCTCTTGCACAGTTTGGGGTACATGTCGTGCCTCCCAGTTCATCTCCAGAGTGCAAATGTTTGAGCCCTCACAGACCAGTAACAGAAAACCCTAAGGTCCAGACTGTCCTCCCTCCAACTCCTTCTCTGTAACCCTAAGTCCCTGCTGCCTCATCTGCTGAGGTGACTGGGAATTTGGCCAGGAGCACTTCCTGTTGGAGAGCTCTGGGGTGGGCCATCCCCAGAAAAATATGCCAAGCACCTTCCAGGAATCAGGGACACATGGCCAATGTTGCCGCATTTACCCTTCTGCCTCAGCCATGAGACTGACCTACTAGGTTCTCTTTCAGGTACCTCTGAAGCACAGCGAATCCTGTATGCACAGGGATAGAGCTGGAGGGAGGATAGTCTGGACTTCTGGGTTTCCTATTACGGGTCTGTGAGGGCTCAAACATTTGCACTCTAGAGATGAGCTGGGGGGCAAGACAGTTGTCCCCAAAACCGTGTAAGAGGAATCCTGGTTACTTCCACAGTAACAGACGCGTGCATAAGCTACAGTGGCAGGAAGCAAGGAGTGATGAATTCTGCAAGAAGAGGTATTGGCCTGAACACGTTTTGGAAGAATGAGTAGTTTACAGTGATAGAATGGAAGAAGTTCATTACAGAAGGAAGAACAGCATGGCCAAAGTTTTACTGACCCGAGACATAACATGGCTCTTCAGTGAACGCAAAGTACCTTTGTCCACTTTGCCACAGTTTTGGTGGATTCATTTCTTGTTCCAGTATTTAGTGATAAGCTTCCTCCGTTCCTGACAAAGTACAAGTTTAATATATGTCAAGTATTTAGAAGAGTGCCTGGCACATGGTTAGCACTATCTCAGTGAAACTTTGGATAACTACATAGCTCAACTTTTTTAAAAGTATAAAATGTAAAAAAATTCTCTAACCCAACCAACCACCCTTTCCCGTTTTCTACTCTTGCCCTCCTTAATCTCCATCCTTCAAAAATCCCAAACATTTCCTTTCAAGAGTCAAACATTTTAAGAGGCCAGTCTAAAATAGGTGCAACACAAAACATCCAAAAACGGAAAGGCGTTGCAGGACAAGGGCAATGTTCGATGTTTTGGGTCTGGGTGTGATTATTGGCAAACAGATAGTATCTAAAACAAGGTTTGACATTTTTCGTCTGTTCCAGCCGAAGTCCTATTTCAGAGGTTTGTTTAAATAATCGCCTCCTGGCCCTCTAAGAACCTTGTCCTCCGTAGATCGCCAAGACGGAGGCGGCGTCGAGAACCCGCGAGGGAGTGCGGAACCGGGCCAGGTGTGGTGGTTCTCGCCGCCAAGTGCCACGTAACCAGGGCGCGGGGGCTGGTGTGACATCTAGGAAAAGTAAAGAGAAAGGCAAGGCCGGCCTGGCTGTCAGGGCAGGAGACTCGGGAGGGGGCAGAAGTAACGAGCCGCGCAGTCCCGGGTGGGTGGGCACAGGGCGAGGAAGAGGGTCCAGGGTGGGGCGCGAGGAGGATGCAGGAGAGGAAAGGAACGTGGCGAAGGTACCTGCCCGGAGCGCCGGG